GATGTCGTTCTCCTATTGGGTAGTTGAGCCTGGTGAGGCTAAGTTGTATGGTACAGATTTGGTGAAAGATGCGTTGGAAAAGGTAAGGTTGATTCAGGAAAGACTTCGAACAGCTCAGTCCAGACAGAAGAGTTACGCGGATCAAAAGGCGCATGATGTATCATTCATGGTCGGCGAGAAGGTTCTCTTGAAAGTCTCGCCGATGAAGGGTATTATGAGATTTGGGAAAAAGGGCAAGTTGAGCCCCAGGTTTATAGGCCCATTTGAGGTGTTGAGGCGAGTTGGGGAGGTTGCTTATGAGCTTGCTTTACCCCCCAGCTTATCGGGAGTTCATCTAGTTTTTCACGTTTCTATGCTTCGGAGGTATCACGTCGACATGTCTCATATGTTAGACTTCAGTACTATCCAGCTAGATGAGAGCTTGGGTTATGAGGAGGAGCCAGTTGCCGTTGTTGATAGACAGGATCGCCAGTTGAGATCCAAAAGGATTTCTATGGTAAAGGTCCAGTGGAGGGGCCAACAAGTCGAGGAGGCGACCTAGGAGTGCGAGGAGAACATGGGGAGTAGATATCCACGCTTATTTAGCACTCCAGGTATGAAACTAAACCCGTTCGAGGACGAACTTTTGTTTAAGAGGTGGAGAATGTAACGACCCAATTTGTCGTTTTGGATTCAAGAACCCCGTTCCCCTAAATAAGACTTCTCGTACTTGCTTTTACTGATTTATGACTTGCGGAGATGGTTGTTTCGGGATTTGAAAGAGTTTGGGTTGAAATCGGAACACTTGGTTCCTTAAGGTTGGCTTAAAAGGCCAAGTTTGACTTTGGTCAACGTTTTGAGTAAACGAACTTAGAATCAGGATTTGAAGGTTCCAACAGGTTCGTATGATGATTTCGGACTTGGGCGTATGTCCGGATCGGGTTTTGGATGACTCGGGAGCGTTTTGGCGCCTAATAGTGAAAGTTGATTCCTTAAGGATTTTGAAGTTCTTTAAAATTGGTTTGGAGCGGGTTTTTGATATATCGAGGTCCGAACGCAATTCCGAGACCGAGAATAGTTCCGTATTGTCATTTAAGACTTGCACGCAAAATTTGGTGTCAATCCAAGTAGTATAAGTGTATTTCGTTACATTGGATATGAATTAAAAAACTTAAAGTTCATAAATTTGATTCAATTTGTTTTTGGGGGGTGATTCTTAGATTTAGCGTTGTTTCGGGCGTTCCGAGGGTTCGAGCGAGTCCATTTTATGATTTCAAAATTGTCAGTATTTTCGGGCGGGGCCCCGAGCGTCAATCGGACGAGGCTCGAGTTAAGTTAGAAAAGAAGCTCCAGTTCTGTCATAACCGCACCTGCGGTTGGCCAGCCGCAGGTGCGACACCATAGAAGCGGCCTACCAATCGCAGATGCGGCCCAAGGGAGGAGCCCAGGAGCCGCAGATGCGGCTCCTCTGATGCGGCCCCAGCTAGCCCAACCAAATTCTGCAAATGCGGACGTTCCCTCGTAGAAGCGAGATCGCACATGCAGTTCCCTAACCGCAGGTACGGATGTCGCTGCAGGCAGTGCCTTCATTTAATGCGGGAAATGTGTAATTTTTGACATATTTCATTCATTTCTTGGGCGATTTGGGAGCTTCCAAAGGGGGGATTTTCGCCTAGCATTGTGAGGTAAGTTATTTCTACTTAATGTGGGTTTAATACATAGATTAGTATATTATATCGAATACCCCAAAATAGAAATCTTTTTCTCTCTCTTCGCTCCAGCTTCTCTCTAAGCGCAGGTTAGTGTAACGTGCGCCCTGGAGGTCCATGGGAAGGGGACGAGGTCGGGGAAGGGGACGACCTAAGAAGGAGTTACAAATAGCTTTTGGAAGCATCGTGCATGTTCAATCTAAGTCGATTGCTTCAACATCAAAGCAACCAGTTGCAAAAATACCAATGGAACAGTACCCAGATCTGGAACCTTCATCGAGCTCAACTGTTAATAATGGAACTATAGCGGAGGTGGTGGATGTAGAAAAACCTCCAGTACCAGTGATTTCACAGCTGGAGAATGGAAAGAAACAAAGTGAAGACCCAGTCCAAAAGGTAACCACTCTTGCTCAAGCGGAAGAAGCTCAAACAACGAACAAATGTGAGAATCAGGAGACAAACAAGGAAGCAAATGAGGTGAAGGATGAGGATATGAAGCCAAAGTGGAACAACTTGTTTGCTGGAAACAGAGCTGCAGAGAATGGTATGACCCTAAACTATTTTCCACCTCAAATTGTTAATGGGGAAACTATAGTCCAACTTGAGAAGAGCGATGTGGAAAAAGAAGCGGAGAAGTGGAAAAATGCCCTCATTGTCTATGTGATGGGGGAGACACCAGGATATTCAGTCATGCATAGGTATATTTCTCAAATGTGGAACTCTATAACTATGCAAGATCTGTTTCTACATGAGGAGGGGTATTATGTGGTTCGATTTCATGATACAAGTGATATGAATGAAATACTATTTTCTGGACCGTACTCTATTAGAAATCGACCAATTATTCTGAAACCATGGACTCCTGCATTTGATTTCAGTCAAGAGTTTATAACAGAGATCCCTTTGTGGGTGAAATTTCCCAAATTGCCTACGAGTTGTTAGGTTTGTGGATCCTTGGGAAGAATTGCTAGTGCATTGGGGAAGCCATTGTTTGCAGATGAGTGTATGACTAAACAAACAAGGATCTCCTATGCTAGAATGTTAATTGAAGTTAATGTATCAAAGCCAATCCCTGACACAATTGTGGTTATGGAGCCAAATGGAAAGAAATTTCAGCAGGAGGTGGTATTTGAATGGAAACCTCAGTTCTGCCCTCAATGTTTAACTATAGGGCACATTTGCACTAAGCAACCTGAGCAGCAAGAAAGACCAATTCAAAATAGAAGAAGAGGAGAGCAGAAGAAAGTGGTCCAGGAATGGAAACCCAAAGATGTTCCATCAACGAGCCAACTGGCAGATACACAGCAGCTAGCCCATGTTGAAGTCACTCAACACAAACATGGTATGAACAAGCTGCAACAACAGGGCAATGGAGCACATAGCAAAGTAACAACACCTGTGGAAGTGCCAAAAAATGCCTCTAAAGGCAAGGAGCAGGTGCCTAGTCCAAAGCTGAATTTGATCAACTTCCCACAATTGAGTGCTGCTATGTTGAGCAATGCAAAGAATGGGAATACTGGGACAAAACAAAGAGAGGTACTGAGAACAAGACAAGTAGAACCACCTGAACCAGGTGGACTTATCACTGCTCAACGACTTGGCTTATATGGAATATTAGGGGTGTGAATAAAGTGTATAAATAAAAAGAGTTGAAAAAGTATATAAAGACAAAAAATATTAAACTTCTGGGCCTGCTGGAAACCAAGGTTAAGCAACATAGGTGGTTAAAAATAACATCAAATATTGCTCCAAACTGGGGGATAATAAATAATTATTCTGCTGCAGCAAATGGAAGAATTTGGTTGATGTGGGATCAAGGTGAATATACTATAAATACCCTGAAGGTGGAAGCTCAGTTAATACATTGTGAAGTTAGAGACACCTCTAGTAAACTACAATGTGTTCTGACTATTGTATATGGCTTTAACACTGTAGAAGAAAGGATAAGTTTGTGGTCAAGTTTGCAAGATATATCAAGTAGTACTAACTGCCCATGGTTAGTTAGTGGAGATTTTAATGCAATCCTAACTACTGCAGATAGAAGGAGCTGCCATCCTGTGACTTTCAATGAGGTNGTTTTTCCAATGGAACTTCAACACATATGCGTGCATAGTCTGCCTCTAGTTGTGGCAGATGTACATGTATCTAGTTTTCCTTAGTGAACCAAGTTTTTGATCCTACTCGCTGGAGGATTTCAAAGTCGTAGAATTCAGTAGGAAGCTTGGGTAATCTAATCCAAATGGCAGAGTAGGTAAGCTGGGCAGTGGAAGATATGAACTTTGGCTCCCAGTTTCCTTACTAATAGGAAGTGATTGAATAGGAACCATGGCCCATTGTGCAATGCTTTCACCATGTTTTCCTCCTTCTGGAATTTAACTAGGAAGAAGTCACATCCCAGATCAATTAATGGGAGGTCAAAAGGAGAAAGAAGCTCTAATGCAGTTAGAGAAATGGAGCCTGGTTGAAGAAAGCATACTAAGGCAGAAATCTAGAGCACAATGGATACAATTAGGTGATTCAAACTCTCGGTACTTTGCTGCAGTCATGAAAGAAAGATGCCACAGGAAGCAAATCAAGGATCTCAAGTCTCTACAAGGTGGTCAGCTATTGTCTGAACCTAATGATCTAAAAGAGGAAATTGTGTCCTTTTATAAAGGACTGATGGGGACCTCTAATAGTTACCTCAAGGTTGTCAACAAGATTACAATGAGTAATGGACCTAAATTTAATCATGAACAACAAATGTTGTTGTGTGCTCCAGTTACTGACCAAGAGATAGCTGATGTATTAGAAGCAATTGGAAATGATAAGTCCCCTGGGTCGGATGGCTATAATGCCTACTTCTACAAAAAGGCATGGAAAATTGTTGGGCCTGAGATCACAACAACAGTAAAGAAGTTCTTTGAAAGTAACAAGATGAATAGATCCATCAACTGTACTTCTGTCACTTTAATTCCTAAGAATGATCATCCTGCTACTGTGAAGGAGTACAGGCCAACTGCTTGTTGTACAGTGTTATACAAAATCATCTCTAAAGTCCTTGCATCAAGAATCCAAAAAGTCATTGCATCAATTGTGTGTGAGGTGCAGACTGGCTTCATTCCAGGAAGGAAGATATCTGCGAGCTGGTGAAGTCCTATACAAGGAAAAATGTTTCTCCTAGGTGCATGATAAAAATAGACCTCCAAAAGGCCTATGATTCAGTGGAATGGATGTATCTGGAGCAAGTCCTAGATGAGCTAAGTTTTCCTAGAAAGTTTACTATATGGATCATGGAGTGTGTTAAAACAGTCAACTATTCTATTATGGTGAATGGAGAACCTACAGCTCCTTTTAATGCAGCTAAGGGACTCAGGTAGGGAGACCCAATTTCCCCATTTCTCTTTGCAATTTCCATGGAATATCTTAGTAGGAATCTCAATGCTGTGAAAGGAAGCAAAGAATTCAAGTGCCACCCAAAGTGTTCTAAACTATATCTGACTCACTTGTCTTTTGCAGATGACTTATTATTATTCTCTAGAGGAGATATTGAATCTGTGGCTACCCTTCATAGATGTTTCAAAGACTTCTCAGAAGCATCAGGTCTTCAAGCCAACAAAGAGAAAAGCTCCATTTACTTTGGAGGGGTGGCTCAAGATGTGCAGGATCAAATCCTAAAGTTCTTAGGATTCCTTGAAGGAGAACTCCCCTTCAGATATCTGGGAATTACTTTAGCTACAAAAAAGATCTCCTTAATCCAGTGGCAACCATTGATTAACAAGATGGTGGCTAAAATCACCTCTTGGACTGCCAAGAAGCTGTCATATGCAGGTAGAGCTCAGCTAATTCAAACTGTTCTCTTTGGTATCCAAGCTTACTGGGCACAACTTTTTGTTATCCCCTCAAAAGTGCTAAATACAATTGAGGCCTATTGTCGAAGCTACTTGTGGTCGGGCACAAATACAATCACTAGGAAGGCTTTACTAGCTTGGGAGAGGTCTGTACTCCAAAGTCAATGGGTGGACTAGGCTTGATGAACATGCGATTATGGAATAAAGCTGCAATATCTAAAGCTAGTTGGGATATAGAACACAAAAGTGACAGGCTATGGATCAGATGGTTGCATGCATACTATATCAAGAATCAACAATTTGGTCAAATGGCTATTCCTCAACAGGCTGGGTGGATGGTAAGGAAATAGTTCGAGGCAAGAAGTACGTTGCAACTGATTCAATACAACACTGCTGGTAGTGTAATTAAGCAGATATATTTTCAGTTAATGGGGAACAATGTGAAAATTTCATGGAAAACATTGAGGTTTGGAAATAATGCTCGACCAAAAGCACAATTTACAGTATGGCTACAAATGCAGGGCAGACTTCTGACTGTGGATAGAATTGCTTCCTGGGGTGTAAGTGTGGATCATGAATGCAAGCTGTACAATAGTCAAAGTGAAACGAGAGACCATATCTTCATGGAATGTCCTTATTCTGTCAAAGTCTGGGAAGGGGTACTAAAATGGATGCAGGTTCCTTGCTTCAGAACAACACAATGGGAACAACTGGAGAATTGGATTATCCAAAGAGCAAAGGGTAAATCACAGAAAGCCCAGGTATTCAAGATGGTACATACAGAATGGGTGCATGCACTATGGATTGAAAGGAATCAACGTAGATTCGAAAAGAGATCAAGGAGGGCAGAACAATTGGTGAGGGAAATAACATATGTGTGTAATGTCCGAGCTCATACTAGAATTAAAGAAATGGTTTAACAGTTTTGTATTTAGTTAGTCTAGTAGAAAATGTTATTTTTTCAGTCCCATAGTTAGATAGCAGACTGGGTTGTAGTCGTGCTATGGTTCATTACTTGTAAATATTCTGGTGATTAATAAAAAATTTAATTACCAAAAAAAATACATAGATTAGAGGTATATTACACCATGTAAATTAGTAAAAATTGCGGGTTTAGAGTAAAACCTAGGGTTTTGATAAAAATAAGATTTAACCACAAAATTCGTTATGGAATGAAGTAAAAATCATATATTCTTGATCCTTAGGTTATGGGTAACAACTTTATTCAATAATTTCCAGAATCCGGGCATGTGGGCCCGGGGATGAATTTTTGGAACCTTGCATTTAGGGGTGGGAAATTACTTTAATAGTTAGAATATGAACTCTTGAGCATGTATTGACTAGTTCTTACCCCGTTTGAATAGTTTTGGATCGTTTGGCTCCGTATTGAGAGCATTATTGAATTTGGAAGTGAGCTTTGGAGCAAGGTGAGTCTCTTTTTTGACCTCGTAATAGGGAAATAACCCCATAGGTGAACTAAATAAATGTATGTGACTATCTTGCTACGTACGTGCATGGTGACGAGAGTCCGTACGTAGAGACTATTATGTTAATTGTCCGGGTAGTTTAGGACCCGTATCATGCCATACTTGCAAATGATTACGTCCTTGCTTGCTACTAAGATCACTTAGGCCATGCTAGAAATTTTTATATAAATATAGACGGATATGCTCACTCACTTGAGAACTTGTATGAGCTTATTTTACTATAAATGAGCGGTGTATGATTACTTGATAATAAATTGCTATTCAGATAGTACGACAGTGGTATTTTTGTACATTCTACTAGTTGCCCTAGTACTTGTGACACTAGTTCCTAGCACACACTTTGTAGACTATTATTTTGGGATGTATTTCTATTATTATGAACTCCTTAATTTTCGACTGTCTAAAAGTTTAAGATTAAGAAAAATGTTGGGATTGTTTCGGTAAAATAAATGAGAACTCACTAGTTGACTAGGGTTGGCTTGCCTAACAACGGTGTTGGGCGCCATCACAACCTATAATGGAATTTGGGTCGTGACATCTTTCCTCGTCCCTTTTATCTCAGTTTTATGCCTTGGGCGCCATAGCCACCGCCCTGCGGTGCCTACTGTGCCAGAATATCACGACCCAAATTTCTCTCCGTTGGGTGTCGTGATGCCACCTAGTCTAAGGGACTAGGACAGCCTAACATTAACTGAAATAGTAACAATATTTAACTACATCTGAAAATTTGAAAATAGAAATCTGTTACATCCCATGTTTTCGTATGCGAAACTACGCCATAAGTAAATTGATAAATGCTCGAAAATGAGATGTTACATCCTGCATTTGCGTACGTTAAAGTTTTGTTGTAACTTAATCGACATAAGTTCGGGAATAAAATTATTTTGAGATTTTAAGTATTATGCTATTTCAAACAAGCGATAAGTAAATTCGTGAAGGTGAAAGGGTAAGCGAATCGAAGAAAGTGAGTTTCTTCGAAGTTTGTCAATTTGGGATAAAACACGGTCCGTGCTATAATACCCGGTATTTATGGACTAGTGCCATACAAGGTACCATATAACCATGATAGTAAGGTGTATAAAGTGTGTTAAAAGTAAGTAGAATTTTAAGTAATTTGAGATAATTCTTAATTATGTGGGTAATTGATTAATTATTGGATTAGTTGGGAATTACCAAGTTAATTAAGAAATTGGTAATTAATTAAGATGTTGATGGATAAGCCTTAATGTGGCAGCCCATAATGTCTTGATCACATCATATACAATGTGTGTTATTCTATAAAGCAAGATCGCACCTTATGAGAAATTGGTGGCTTAGTCACCCCCTAAAGTGGGGCCCACCTAAAGGTTTAAGATAACCTTTCTAAATTCATAATGGAATTGCTCACATCTTAAGGGGAAAGTTTCAGCAAAGGTAATGTTGCAATAGCAACGAGATTGGTTCAAACATTTCATACGAAGTCTACCTAATGTTATAGCAACGTGAGATTTCGATTCTAAGGAGTACGGTACAATCTTTCTCAAGAATATTATACGGATTTCTCCTTACTTCGATCCGCAGTTATATGTTGTCGCATTTGACGTGTGTTGGAAGATTGTCAAGAGAATCGGCTCAGGTATGTTAAGGGTATCCCTTCTTTCCTTTTGGCATGATCCATACGATACAAACGAAACGAGCAAATGCACAATTTCCATAAATGACTCTCTTCATAGAAATACTAGAGATGCCTATGTTCTTGATTCCCCATGTGTCCTATTATTCTATCATCTGTTCATGGGTCTTAGAAAATACGTAAGTTGATAAAGTTTACTTCATGATACTAATCAAAGGCATAATGGTCTTATGACATTCCGAAAGATTTTATTGACGTACTTCTCATGCATTGCATTTATTTATACATATACATTGACCCATGACCAGATGGCGTTATACACGCGTATATATGTATATGGGATATGGGAAAAGGTTACAGCATTATATACGCACCACCTCCCGATCAACTGGTATACATTGATGATTTGCCCACATTGGCCGAGATGATATGATGGGATGCCCTCAGAGGCTTGATGATGTTATGAATGCATATACCCATGCATGGTATGACATTTATGCATATGCATGACATTATAAGTATTAAATGATTCACAGAGCTATTCAAACATACATGTTGAGTCTTTTACTCCAAGTTTAACTCATGTCTCCTTACATACTCGGTACATTATTTCTACTGATGTCCCTTTTGCTTGGGGATGCTGCATTTTATACCCGCAGGTCCCGATAGACAGGTTGAGAGTCCTCCAAATAGGCTATTAACTCACCGGAAGTGTTGGTGCGCTCCATTTGCTCCGGAGTTGCTTATTTGGTCAGCATGATTAAGACATGCATTGATTGGTATGGCGGGGCCCTGTCCCGACCTTTTACGATGTTTATGTACTCTTAGAGGCTTGTGGACATATGTCATATATACCGATACTTGTATGGCCTTGTCGGCCTTTGTTTTGAGATATATAGGATCACGTTGGCCTTATAGGCCCATATGTCACAGGTATGAGTTTCTATGTCAGGTTGGGTCGTTCTATGTTGGGTATTCCCTCATGTTTACTCTGGTTATCTCATGACGCCCCTTCTGGCCTACTTACCCATGATGATGTAATAAGAAATATACGTTACGTTGGTACTTGGTTGAGTAAGGCACTGGGTGCCCATCACGTCCCATCGATTGGGGTCGTGACAAAAGTGGTATCATAGCAGTTCTGTCCTAGGGACTCCACAAGCCGTGTCTAGTAGAGTCTTGTTTATGGGTGTGTTGTGCACCACATTTATAAGCTGGAGGCTACAGGGCATTTAGGACTGTCACTCTTTCTTCTTTGTCTAGATCGTGTGGCAGAGCTCACTTGTAAGAATTCAAACTCCTAAATTCTTTTTTTTTCATAATAAGATGATACCTACATCCAAAAGACGGTTGGTAAGAGATTGCATATGGTTATGGAAGAGTTGAGTTAGAGGAACTCGAATTTACATCATTCGTATGATTTATAAATGTGATGTCTTCGGCAGAACATGTGTATAATAAGACGTGTAAGCTTCTTGATAAGGAGCCTTAAGGCAAGAATATCTATCCACCCATATGGTAAAAAGCAACGAAAGAATTAGAAGGTACAAGTTTCAATAAGTAAAAGAAGCAAGGTGAAGAAGGGTACGAGGTACCCAGTTAGTGAAGATAATAATTACCTACAATTCAGGAAGAAAGATATAAGCATTCCGAGTTACCTTCAATAGTAACAGAAGTATGTACAATTGGCCACACCGATCTCAGTTATGCCCTATGGGAGCTAACAGATATGGTTAAAGAGAAGGACGGGATATCGGGATCTGGCTAGGGTTAGAGTAACCCAAAAATGGTGGATAGAGTGTTTGCGTTAGTTGACATCTTCGAAGGATATTGCAAATGTGCTAGTAGATATCCTTGTGAGATACCCAGATGGTGCACTCTAAAATAGCACAGCAATATATGAGTACTACAAAGACATGCACTGGAATCCTGAAAGGGATAAAAATTACCTTAGTATGGCTCCCATCCCTAGTAGAGCGAGAATGTTAGGCAACCCGAAGAGCCAGGGGATGGAGCAAGGGGAGCTAAAAGCAAAAGAATGTCTTGTTAAAGTTTTCAGAATAAAGTGATAGACAAAAGTATTGGCAGGGAAATAAGAAGAGAGATAATGAAGCATTATGAGTGAGACATGATACATGCATGACAACGGTAGATAAAAAAAATGACAGTATTACAGGGTTTATAGTCAAGTGAAGGAAAATACGAGAGGTGACAGGCCTTGAGACAACAAAATAGTATAGGCCATAAAGTCATATCTTCATTTTGAGAAATAAGTTCGTGACTCCAATGCGACTACCAGAAGGAAAAGTTAGATCCCAGAGCAATAGAAATCAGTATGGACTGGTGAACAGGATAAACTAAACATGAATTAGGGACTGAGTGATTTGATAATAGTCGGCATCATGAGAATTTCAGAGATTGCGTTCCGGTGATAATAAAATGGATGACAGAAGAATAATCTTTAAAGGTTATTCAGGAAGACGCTTCCTAAAACAAGCAATGTGAGAAAACTTAAGCTTAAGGGACTATGTGTGCCAGTTACACTAAGTGACACCTTTCGTTATCCTTGGTGCAGAAGGATTACCGCAAGGCGAATAAGGATCATTAATGATGTGAAAAGGCGCCAAAGATGAAGAGGTAAAACATCTATAGGTAGATAGTCGTAGCTCTAAATCTTAGTACTCCCCTAAAGGGGGGAATATGGAGTGATGTAGCATGAAGTCAGAATTAAGTTGTTCTAGTAATCATGGAATGGTAAAGGAGAATGCAGTAAAAAAAATAAAAAATGAAAAAGGAATGAGATTACACTTATTCAACTCCT